ACTTCTGTAAACTTGTTAACAAAGTCCATTGAAAGAGTGAGTAAATTTAAATACCTGGGATTGTGGCTTTTTGAAGACTGGGCATCGGACAGGGAAGTAAAATGTCGCATTGAGCAAGCTCGACAAGCTTTCGTAAAATTCAAGAAAGTACTGACTTGTTCAGAGTTTGATCTTCAACTGAGACTAAGGTTTACTAAGTGCTACGTATGGTCAGTGCTGCTATATGGCGTAGAGGGCTGGACACTCAAAACCAGGGATATAAACAGATTACAAGCTTTCGAAATGTGGTTTTATCGCCGTATCCTAAAAATACCATGGACAGCGAAAATCAAAAATAAAGATGTCCTTAAAAGAATAAACCAAGAACGCCAACTTTTCGAAACCATCAAGAAAAGGAAAATGGCCTATCTAGGTCACATCATGCGAAATGAAAAATACCAGTTCCTCCAACTTATAATCGAGGGTAAAATTGAAGGCAAGAGAGGAATGGGACGCAAGAAAATGTCCTGGCTTCGAAACATAAGGCAATGGACACGGATTAACGACATACAATCTCTGATACATATTGCAAGAAATAGAGAATTAATGGAAAATGTGATCGCTAACATCCATTAGTGGATTTGCATCTGAAGAAGAAGAAGTACAAAGCATGGGGATGAAGTGTTGAAACGTCTACACAAAGGCAAAGAAATTGAAAAGCCCAAAATGATTATTGATTACAATGATTCAAAATCCATTATTGACCTCTCAAATTTGAACTTTCACAGCGTTCAAAACAGAAGTCGCTATAGAACTACTAGGTGAAATGTCCGCTATTGAAACTATTATCAACGATAACACCGATGTCAGTCATGAGCTTGTAGAAGGAAAATAGAGCAGATGTGTGGTTTGCTACGTCAGAATGAAGAATGAATTGGGGCAGAAGCAAGCTCAAAATAATTGTTCTTGTTCTAAATTTTAGTGTAACCAATGCAAAAACATTGTATTTCTTGTTTTTTCTCAACACATAATATTGCTTTAAAATAAAAAGGTGTTATATTATTATAATTATTTTTGCACATTCTGAATAAAATATTTTATTTTTTTTCCATAAAGTTTTATAATTTCCATATCTTTACAATGTAATTTATATAGCTGTGGGGGCACAGTTGAGGCCCCGGTGTCCCGAATACAAAACTGTAGTGTGGCATTAGAGTGATGCCTCACTGTCCCTAGAGTACTATTTAGTGAGGCATCATATTGATGCCATCCAGGGCTGAACGTGTTAAACAAGTTAGTAAGAAATATGCAAGTCTGATATTGAGAGTACAGTACTTCGGAAATCATTTTCAAATCAAAACGCAAATATAGTTTTTTTAACGTAAAAATTGTATTTGAAATAAAAATAATAAAAAACTTTTGAAGTTAGCTATCGAAGGGAAAATAAAAGGTTAGTGAAAAGACGTTAACATTCCTCGTTAAAACATATATGAGATGGAACTGGTTTAAACTCACTGTTTAACTGTTTGAAGCTTCACAAGACAGATATTACTTCGATAAGATTGTTACCAACCTTCAACAAAAAATTATATAATAAAAGATAAGACCAAGGTATAGTACTTGTAGGTATAATAAGTATAGTGATATTGGATGATTCAACTTGAGTTTCGAATCTGACATCGCAACTATAGGAGCTTTTAGAGTCAGAATTTTGAAAAAACCCTAATAGTTTCTTATATCTCTTAACAATTTACATCCTGTATAAATAAATCTGTTCATAAAACTAAAAAGCGCAGCAATATTAATCAAATTTCTATCTTTTTAAAAAATAAATAAAGAAAATTTTCTTGAGTACTAAATTCATTACTGATGATCGTATTCTCCACAAAGCTTAAAATAAAGACAAAATAAAAGTTATAAAAGGATTTTGAAGTGTCTGCATTCCTAACAAAGCAAAAGAGTACGGACTAAGTAACACAAAACTCTCAGAGAATTCAAAAGAATTTTTTCATAACTTGATGTTTTCATTATAAATTTACAGAATTAAGTAGTAAAAATACTATAATGATATTTTATAGTTAATACTGCTTTGCTTGTTACGTCTTACGTTACACTAAGAATATAAATTGAAGTAAGAACCATAAATTTATTATGCTACTAAGAAACAATTGGAACTTTTTTGATACCCTTTATTTCTATAAGTTTATCGGTACAGAATGAAACTAAGAGTAAAAATTGTAATATAAAAAATTTGTAAGTATATAACTTTCAATGAAACTCATATGACTTATCCATCGTTTTGTAAATCGTTTAGAAAATCTTTCTGTAGATTTTAGATATATATAACTCTTATTTTTCTTCTTTCCAATTATTACAATATTTTTATATTCTTTATCCAGTGAAACTATAATTTTTTATACAGGGTATTTCATTGATACTTGGAAATATTTTAACTGCATTTCTGGGCTCAAAATAGTTAGGTTTAACCCACATGTTTTATTTGGGTTACCTACTATATATTTGTATCCAGTACTTTAAAATTATTTGACCTATCTCTAACCTACTTGGCGGAAAGCGTAGGTAGGGGAAACCGGAGTTGGTTGTCATATAAAAGTGTGTTCCGGCACTGCTACTTTTGCCATGACACCACTGGAATAGAGAGTATGTTTTTTACATATAAAATATTAAAGAATTGACAAATTGCACTAAAATGATAATTTCGGCAGTGGAGTAGAATTTAGGAAGGCTTCCATTCTTTTTCGCCTGTCGTACGCCTCTGATAGAAGCCAGAAACGATTATTTACCATAATTTAGTAGGGTGTATAGTAGCTACACTTTTGCCAAGTATGAAAAGGATATGTCAAATAGTTTTAAAGTACTGGGTACAAATAGTTTCTAAATTTTTAAATAAAACTCAATATAACTCAGTAAGGAGCAACATTTTATTTAAGTAATTGGCGTTAAACCTCAATATTTGAGCTCAGAAATCTGCCGTTACAATATTTCCAATTATTAATGCAACACCATGTACACAGTAAATGTATAGTTACGGCATACTGTACAATTGTTCTGTTTTATTGACGTCATTCTAATTCTTATTAGATTGCTATTAATATACCTATTTGTTTTATATCCAAAGAAATATAATGAAACTTGTTAATTTTATTTGAAAAATCTGGATAAAATATCCACTTCGGAGAAGGATTTAACGATATCTGAGTATATTTCTTCTGGTTTATTGGAAAAGCAATATTAAAATTGTTGGAAATACAGAACTCCTTCGGGAACGATCAAAAACGACTGAATAGTAAAAACTGAACGGGGAGTTTTTCTTCCGGTGAAGAATTTAATAATCTCTCGGGGCGGTGGCTTCTTAATCATTCTGGAAAGGGATAGATTTATTTTGGATGGGATAAAAAGGGGTTTAAGATTAAATATTGTATTAAATATTAAGAGATGAGAAAGTAGCCATTTGGTGCTTGCGTATGAAAATATAAAACTTGGAGCAACAAATAATATATATTTTTCGTACATTTTACTATTACTTAAGGACTATTTGTTTCCGTAATTTTATATTTATACAAGAGCAGTAGTTGTCATGTTTTCAGTGCATGGTTTAATATTTATATAGTGTTTTATCCAAAATTATGAAAAATATTTATTTTTGGTATAGGCGACTTCGGAGACAAATCTCGAAACCAATTGAATTTTATTTTTAACATATGAATTTTTGGCATAAATGTCATTTTACTATTTTTGTTGGAAATACGCTACAATAAGTTTATTTGACGTTTTGATTTACCTCTTCAGAAATCGATTCAAAAATACAAATCATTATTAAATTAAACAAATTTTGTTTTTTGTTACTTGATAGAAAATTCTTAATTAAACAATTTAATATTATCTGACTTATTCCTATTAAAAGATCAAAAAGGAATTATCATAGGAGGAGAAATAATTAACAATATACGGTACGCCGACGATACTGTGATTCTAGCTGAAAACATCGACGATCTGCAGGAGCTAATCAATAGAGTTGACATGGAATGCACAAATTGGGGACTGTCGATAAATATCGATAAAACTAAATACATGGTGACCAGTAAAGTGGATATCGGCGCAACCCAACTGATATTAAACCAACAACCGCTGCAGAGAGTTCAGAGATTCAAATACCTTGGATGTTGGATTACACAAAATCTAGATCCATCCTTCGAAATTCTATGTAGAATTGAACAGGCAAGAAACTCATTTCAAAAATTCAAGCCTCTATTATCCAATAACTCATTAAATTTGGAAATCCGTGAAAAGTTTACAAGATGTTACGTGTGGTCTGTACTTTTATATGGATGTGAAACTTGGACTTTAAACGCCGATATCATGAATAAAATCGAGGCGTTTGAGATGTGGTTGTATCGAAGGATACTAAAAATTCCATGGACTAGCAGAACCAGAAACGAAGCAGTTCTTCGAAGAATGGGATATCAACGAACTCTATTAAATATTATTAAGAGGCCTAGAACTAGAATATCTTGGACATATAATCAGAGGACCAAGATATGAGTTCCTTCGGCTAATTGTCAACGGTAAAATCAAAGGAAAGAAATGGATAGGACGGAAGAAACTCTCTTGGTTGAGGAATTTGTGGCAGTGGACAGGTTTGACAGCGGACCAATTGCTACACGTAGCCCAAGACTGAGATCAGTATAATAATATTATAAGCATGGTAGTCGCCGACGTTCCGTAGGGATATGGCACTCTAAGAAGAAGAAGACTTATTCCTGTTGATAGTTCAGACATGTGCAATTTATAGTAGATGAATTTAAAATTTTGCTTTTCTGGAACGACTTTATTGGGAAATTCATTCGATTACCTAAAATTTGACACAGATATACATACCTTTTTAAAAATATTAAATGGTTTTAGATTTGTTGCAAAATTTGCTAAAACACACTAGATCCTGATTTCCCGTACTAGGTCTTGATAAGGAAAAAATAAGTAAAAACTATTATAAGTATTAGTTATCCTTCTCATGTTGAAGTTGAAGACCATATTAACGTAGGTATTGAGGAGAACGAAGACGAACCAGCTGAAGATACAATAGTAAGTAATGAGGTTGTAGAAGAAACGGCAGTAGAACCTATAGAGGAGGAAGATATAAGAAGCAATAAAGTGCACACTTTAAAGTTTGGACGTGAGTAGAGCTGTGAGGCTCCTCTTACATCTTGATGTTCTCCGAGAAATATTGTTACTACCACACCAGGGCCAACGGCATATACCAGCAAATGCCAATAAAATATTTAAGATTTTTAACATTTTCTTGACTTATGACATAAAGAAAAGTATCTTTGAAAATACCAACCAAGAAGAAACTCGCATATGCCGAATTTACAGTAAAAAAAATTCCGAAGAGACAGAACATATGGAAAGACAATGATATTATAGAACTTGATGCATTTATTGTAGTTTTGATTACAACAGGAGCTCTACGTTTTCGAAAAAAAAAAATTGTGGAAATGTGGAGTACAGATTTACTCAGGTAAGCAATTTTATCTGATTTGATGATAAATCCAAAAGCCAGAAAACCGCAAAACAGAGAAGTTGGCTGCAATTAGTGACATATCGGAACTTTTTGTTACTAACTGTAAATAGGCGTTTATTCTCCATGAACAAGTAACTGTGAGTAAACAGCTGGTAGCTTTTAGAGAAAAGTGCTCATTCAAACAGTACATGAGCTTAGCATACAAAATATGGTGTTATAATTTAGGCACCAGCAAACGTGGAAATAACATACCTGCATTATTTGCAAATTTACACAAGCAAGCAACCAGGAGCGCCATCTGAGAAAAATCAAAGTTTTAGAGTAGTAACGAATTTAGCACTAGTCTAGCCCAAGTCGAATTTTATCTGGCCTAAAATCTAACCCTGCTTGAAGCTGTTCGTAAAAAAAGCCCTACACTCCAATATAACTAAGTAGTTCTTGAAATAGAGCTGTTTTCCCGTCTGAATTTGCCTTTTAGGAAAAAGCTGCCATGGTATTTTATGTATCGGATAAAAACAAACTATCCTGTCTATGTAACATCGGGATGAGTCTATTTTTGATGAAAAAAACAGAAAAAAAAATGATATTATTATATAATGCCACCAAAGGGGCAGTTGATAATGCCAATAAAATTATTCCGGAATACACGTGTACTCTATGCACTTCTCGCTGGCCTTTCCAGTGTTTATGAACCTTCTTGATATTACTACCCCGAAACAGTTTCGTCATAGATGTAGCTAAGAATTCAGGTTTCTCATCAAGGAAATAATTTATTTAAATACTAGGCAAGCAGGTTGCAGGTACCCAATATACAAATAACACAATATTATACTGGGTATTGTATTTGAAATACGAAAGTTGGTATTTGCCACTGTTACATATAAAGTTTTTGTCGCAAAACATGCGCAACGAAAAATATCATTCAGCGCATCCCAGAGTTTTTTTAACACGCCATTATTGAATTTATTCCATTTGGCTGTTCTACTCGTACGAGTATATGCCAAAAAATCATAATTTAAAAATAAAAACCGACTTTTTTCGGGATTTATCTTCAAAGTCGCCTATTTACGAAAAATTAACTTATTCTATAATTTTGCCTCTCACTGTATATACGTAGGCGGTCCGATAAGTACTAAGCCTCACCGCCCGATGGCGCCACTTCCTAAGGGAAAGCTACTACCCTGTAATATATTCTCGTAGAAGACTAATGTCAAAATTTCAACCGAATCCTACTTGTACTCTTGTTTCGACCTTATGTGAAAGCGGGCGTGTCCGCAAATTTTAGAAAAATGTAAAAAGAGCAATATTGGTCGGTGATTTAATTCTTGTTCGTGCAACAAGGAAAAATCGTGGAGCAAAATCAAAGAGCGCTCGGATTTTGCATACAGTGATTCTTCCCCATCGATGGTAACCATCAAAAATTGGTCTAACGACTTTCAACGTGGTCGCACAGTTTTTGATGATCCACGCCCAGATGCCCCGAAATCGGCTACTACGGAGGATAATGTGACAAAAGTCCAAGATTTCATATTGGCCAACGAAAGGTACACGAGTTAGCTAAGACAGTAGGGATTTCAAAACATCGAGTATGCCATATCTTGCATAAAATTTTGAGCCTGAAAAAGCTGCTGACTTCGGATAATTCGAAGGAGTTTTAACATCGTTTCGTAACCATTGACGAAACATAAATCCATTGGTACACACCAGGGACCAAAAAACAGTCGCAACAGTGGAAGCATCCGGCAAACGTGCTCCGAAATAGGCCGGAAAGATGATGGCCACCAGTTTCTAGAATTTACAAGGGGTGATTTACGTCAACTACCTAAAAAATGGCAAAACGGTCACAGGGCTCTATTACGCCAAATTATTTGGCCGATTTGACGCCTAATTGTAGAAAAAATGACCCCATTCAGCGATGAAAAAAGTTCTCTTCCACCATGACAACGGACCCGCTCATACCTCCTCCGTCGCCATGGCGAAATTGGTCGAATTGGTTAAATTGGGCTCCAAACTTTAGCTCCATCCAACATATTCTCTGGATTTGGCTCCCTGTGACTTCTTTTTCTTTCTAAACTTGAAAAATGCTGGGCAGAAATTTAAGTCGAAACAGAAAGTCATGGCCGGCATGGAAGCCTAGAGAACTGAAGAAAATGTATTTTTCAGACGGGTTAAAGAAGTTGGAGAATCGCTTAATCAAGGGTATCGAGCTAAAAGTAGACTATATTGAGAAGTAAATCGTTACTTTTCGAAAATTTACGCTTTTTTTTGTAGGCAAAGTACTTATTGGACCGCCCTAGTACATTATGTAGTTGACTAACCAAAATTTGTCAAATGTTTTATCGAACGATTTTGTATTTAGTAGAATAGCAAATTATCAGTCAAATCGCAAAAACATAAATATCTATGTTTACGCCTAGCGAATAGTTGACTTAAAAGAATACATAAAGAAGCGTAGTCTGCCGATTTCTCAATTAATTTATACCAAACGGCATTTCCTAAACAAATAAATTAGCCCTGAAAATATATGTGCATGAAAAAGGTTATAGTAGTTTTCCATTAGAAATTAAATGCGATTTTCCTTTTAGTATATCCGTTACTTTATGATGTAAACAAAGAATAGTAAGAACATATAGGCTTAGTAAAAACGTAGTATAATATTTTGATATATTAATCGACTCTTTATTAAGAGGAGAAATTAATGAAACATGTTCTTATTTACGTGATTCCATATCCAGCCAAATTTCAATTGTTTTCGATTGTCAAACGAAAACATTAAAATAAGTACGAGTATGATGCTATTTTCCTATTAATGAATTTCCAAATGTTTACGTTAATTTTTATTGGGCCTTGGCCGTTGATCAATAATATAGTTTATTTTTATGAACGAGAGAGTAATTAGCATAATTTTAACTGGTACCTCCGACCACTCCATGGGCGTGCTCAAGATTAATTGAAAAATTACTTTGAATAATTGTAAAAAATAAATGAATTATTTCAGTGTTATAAAGTGTTATGTATATGTAAACAAAAGTGACCTCTTTTATCACACACTATATTAAAACTGACTGGCCTACATTAAAAAGGGTTTTAAAAAATTCACATTTTTTTTAATTTTTAAAAATTACAAAAGAGAAAAAGAGTTTTTAAAACCGTCTAAGGTATGTTAAATAGATGAATAAAAATATTAATATAAAACTTACAGCTACTTGTTACAAATCCAAATCAGATTCAGAAGATGAACTTTCAGAACCAAGATTTATAATAACTGGCTCGATCATTTTATCAGTAATATTGTCCAGCTTCCACATTTTTTCCTCTTCTTTAATAGTGTGATTTACTGCCTTTTCCCAGTTTTCAGGTTTTACATTATTTACGGCCTCCAAAAACAACTGTTTTACATCATGAATTTTAAAAGTGGTATTTTTTCTTGAAACTTCACTCTTTATCTGTGCCCATACCAGTTCAATCGGGTTTAATTCACAATGATATGGTGGGGATCTAAGTACTGTCATTCCACGATTTTTGGCAATTTCATCAATTTCGTATTTTTTAAATTTTTCTTTATGAAGGGCACACAACGAATAAAGTTCCTTTCTTATAGATCCGGGATGGTACGTAATATTTTTTGAACTCAGCCAATTCTGCAAGTCTTTTTTTAACCACTTGGTTGTGGGCAGTCCTTCTATAAGTCTGGAGTGATAACTTGCATTATCCATTACTATTACACAGTTCTTAGGAAGAAGATCTATCATTTGTTCGAACCATTCTTGAAAGACATCAGCGTTCATGTCTTCATGGTAGTCACCGGTACGAGTTGATTCAAAAGTTAATAAACCACCTTCAACAAAACCGTCTGAACTGCCAATGTGTACCTACTATTATCAGCCTGCGTCCCTTTCCTGATGGTGGGTTTAAACCAGTAGATAAGTTATTTATAAAAGCGTGCCTTTGACTTGTAACAGTTTCATCCTGCCAAAATTTATTTGGTGTATGACCCTCGTTGATCCATGTTTCATCAAGATAAAATATTTTTCTTTTTTGGTTTCTCATTTCCTTTATGGTTCTTAGAAAATGTCTTCTCCATATGACAATATCGCGTCTTTCTAATAAAATAGACTTTCTTGGATTCTTTTTCCAGCGGCAGCCTATTTCTTTTAAAAGTTTCCATAACGTACTCCGACTCATTTCTGGGTAATCCTTATCATCTCGAACTGAGACAAGAACTTTATCCAATGTTGGAAATTCTTGTCTAAAGAAGAATTCATGCACATTCCGTCGAAGTCCTTCTTTAAAATGATATTCTATTTGAAATTTTGGTTTCCCTGGAGCATTACGTGGCATTTGAAAACTACCACATTGCTCTTCTTAAACAACTCTGTAAATCGTAGATTTATCAACACCAAGTGTACTGCTAACTAACTCAACGGTCTCATCAACACTTTCACATAAACGTTTGTCTGTAAATGATTTAAAACAATTAAATATTAAACTTTGAGTGTATACAAGGCAACTATCGAACACGGTGATTAATTTAATCTTGCCCAAGTACTTTCGATCAATAGATCATCTTCAGGGGCATTTCGTCAATTGTGGCCTATCCGACATAGTAGAATGTCATAAATGTAAAATTTGGACATAACAATACAAAATAC